ACAATTTCTCATCTCATTTTTTTTTCCTTTTTTTTTCTCCCTTTAATTTGAGACAATTAAATAAGATGATGGTAATTAACTTGGGTAAGACAAATTACAAACCAAAGAAATAATGGTAAAGTGTGGTGGCACAATGCACCCATGAGAGCAAAATATATTTTACTTAAAATTTTTGTGGTTTCTTTATTTGAAATTCTAGTCTATTATCAAACACAAAGAATGTGTTTTTCTAGTACATGTGAAAGAGAAGTGATTTCTCAGAAATCTCTTCTGCATTTGAGGGATAAAACGCTTAAATCTCCTTATTTTTAAAGTTTGAAAGAATAATCCTATATGTAATGAGTATGTCTTATTCATACATACATGTCTTTCTACACACGTACATATGTGCAGCCTAGTCATTATGCCTGTGTCATAGAGAAGGGCATGGCCCATGCAGTTGATTAACCAGAAGAGCGCAGTCTAACTGGTAGCTAACCCCAGACAGGGAGTCCAGAGTATGGTGCAAAACATTTATTGTGCTATTTTCATAAGAGACTGGTTTTCAGGCTGTGAGCACTAGACTGGCCAACATCAGCTGGAAATTTGTTAAAAGTGAAAATTCTAGGCTTCCCTCAGAACTGCTGAATCTGAAACTGAGGACAGGGCCCAGCTCCCTGTTTGAGCCAGTCCTCTGGGCATTCTGATGGGCACTAAAGCTTGAAAACCACTGGCAGAGGTGACCGTCCAGGCCTTGCAGAATCCACGCATGTGGACGGACTCCCCTAAGTGCCTCCCTTCCTCAAGTTTTCTTGCTTTCCTTCTCTAACCCTCCTCACTCCCCATAGTGTCCTGGCTCCATCCTGTAGTCACACTCGGAGCCCCAGTAGCTGCTCCTACACACTGAGCCTGGGATCTGACTCCGTCTTGGTGGGTACAACAATAGACGTTTGTATTCTTCAGTGAAGAGCACCTATTTCTCTCACCCTAATATTGATCACTTTTCCTTGCGAGGATTCAGTGCCTTCGAGTGTAAAACAGCTCACTTCCCAAGAGCAATTAAAGATGAGAGAATTGAGATCCCCGTTCAGCCGTATATTCCATAAGTGGGGTGGTCATATTGGGGCAGTCTGATTTACAGCCCTTGTTTCCACATAATAATACCATTCCCTCTTATTCTTTTAAGTACTTTGGTTTAGGTGGTAAATTATTTTTCAATGCATTCAAATCATAAGTGATTCTAACACTGTTGGAAAGTGGTCAAACAAGAGTTCGCCAAGAAGGACATGTGTTGAGCATAAAAATGAAAGATGCCCAGTTACAAGGTAGGTAAGATAGGACTGGAGATGGGAGTGGAGAGAATTCTTAGAGGCTGGGAGTTCAGGGTCAAAACGGCTGTGAAGCAGGTTACACTAAGCGAAGCTTGAGTGGTTCACAGACACTGGAGCCTGTCTCTGGTGGGAGCAATAATATATGAAGTGGGTGGAAAAGGAGTGATTTGAGGTAGAGTCTTCTGGAGGGAGTAAGGCAAAGTTTGTTTCTTATCATCCCCCCAATAGCATATCAATTTAGGTTTCTTGGTTAGTTATTAAGAAGGAACCTAGTATATCTTTGTTTCCCGATTTATGTTGGTTCTATGGATTTTAAATGCTTATTGCTCTATTTGTCACCAGCTCTGGGTTCTATTTCAAACAAACAATCACTGCAAACATAGAGGGAGATGAATTTATTTTCAACTTCAGTTTGAATTTTCAAATAGATAAAACATAGATACCAAATGATTTATACTTCATAGTATTTTATGCCTTTATCATAACAGAATATCAATGCTGCACTATTGAGATTTGTGGCCTGTCAAGTATAGAATGGGGGGAATTATGCAAATACCTAACTGATATGTTGTGATGCTGTTTTTTTTTAATGTTAATATGATGAATGAATTCTATTGTTATGAAATTATATGGGAATCATTTCTGTCACCATTTACAATAAAAAAATCATATGTTTCATGTTGTTTTGGGAACTTGCAAGCTGTGTACAAAGAGCAAGTTGCATGACAAAGCTTGCTTACAGCAAATGTTAAAATTATAAAAACTGTACATTTGATTTTATATAATTTGTTAATGTTATTCTTTTATTGTTGTTGTTGTTGTTGAAGCTTTAAAGATGTGTTTAGCATTAATGAAACTTGAAAAGCTTTGCCCAAGCCCAGCCTATGTCTCAGTGGTTGAGCATTGACCCATGCACCAAGAGGTCGCCAGTGTGATTCCTGGTCAGGGCACATGCCCAGGTTGTGGGCCCGATCCCCAGTAGGGGCATGCAGGAGGTGGCCAATTGATGTTCTCTCTCATCGATGTTTCTATCTCTCTCTCTTCCCCCCCAAAAAAAAATCAATAAAGAAAAAAAAATTAAGAAAAGCTTTGCCCTAGACCCTGGCCAGTGTGGCTCAGTGGATTGGGTGACATCCTGTGCACTGAAAGGTTGCAGATTTCAGTCCCGGTCAGGGCACATGCCTGGGTGGCTGGCTCCATCCCTAGTAGGAGGCGTGCAGGAGGCAACCGATGGATGTTTCACTCTCACATTGATGTTTCTCTCTCCTTCTCCCTTCTTTCTCTAAAAAAATTAATAGGAAAAGTCTGAAAAAAAAGTGTTGCCCTGGTGCATGGCACTGCATATAAAGTCACCTCTTATGCCTCTCTCATTGTCTATATCACACAGACTTCTTGTCACTGTCCCTCTCTATGTGGACAGTACAGATAGCATGTCCTTCTTTCTTTTTCCTGAGCTACTATAACTACTTTTCCGTCTACTGTCTGGACTAATGATTATTAAGAAAATAACTCATTCTTCAATTAATTGTTGCATTTTCTAACTATTGATAACAGGATACATTTCAGAGTTAATAACTATCTGATAAAGAAATAAAACAATAAATTTCTTCATTATCCTTTGTCTAAATATCACATAAATAACTGATATATTTTTAATGCATTTATTTAGGGGAATATTATGATTTGAAGACAGGTAGCAATTAATAGTACATTTTAATTTACACAATCTATAATAAGCATAACTAACTGAGGAATGGGTTTAGCCTGGTATCTTTTACTAATATCTATGAGTAGATATTAATTATCATATGCTACACATTGTCTAATTCTTGTTTTTTTTTAATTTTTTTGAACCATGAATACTTTAAATCGAATGTCATATCAACATATTTGTAGAGTTAGCACATACTGTATGTGAATTTCATGAGTAATGTGTTTTTCTGTTTATAAATGTTACTATTTACAACTCCGTTTCCTTAATTTTCTAACTCAACAATTACGTTTGTTTAGGGAGATGAGAAAGGTAACAGATTGTTAGATTACAAACTAAGAAAGTGATGCAAAACTTTTTGTAGAAGTAGCTGACGCTGACGGGTCTCCAAATCCTGGTCTTAAACCTGTCACTATATTTTAAAATGTAGGCTTGAAATCCTAGGCTTATCTTTACCCACCTTTCTTTACCAATTGAAGAGTAAAAGTACGTAAGTATAGGCAGTGGCTGTGGTTTATTGCAGTTCTTAAAGCAGAAGATGTTCCTTTATGTATTAAGGACTAGTCTTTTGGTTAGAAGATGATCTGTAATGTGTATTCAGTGAACAGTAACTCATGGACTCTTCCAACGGCCACCTGGGAGGATTTACCGTTTTAAATTTTCTTCTGTTTTTGCGCACAGCTCAGGACTTGGACGTCATTTTTATAGCTAATTTTTTTTTTTTTGTATTGCTAACAGGAAACCCCAAGCAAAAAGAAATAATCAGTAGATCACAACTCTGTGAGCCTGTGGGATGGTTTCTGCAAATCTCTGTCATCCCTTGATTTGGTTGTCATTTGAATTGCCATATCAGATAGGTTTACCATCATTACTTTTGCTGTTAATAAACTCCAACCTATAAAAAAACAGCCTGTTCTCTCTGTTTGCATATTTACAGTCTTAAAATTGGGCTCAACTTTTATGAGTTCTTTTTTTTGCTTTTACAATATGATTCTTGGATAGGATTATATAACAGTTCTTGAGTACCATTTTAGAGACTTGTGTGGCCTGTCTGCAATAACTTTAACCTTGCAAAACTGGCCTGAAAGTAATCTCAAGAATCTGAATCAGTTAATATTTTCTTCGTGTTTTTTAGTCAGTCTAATTAAGAGCTAAGCCAACCTTTCTATGTTCTTTTAATAATTTTACTGTTACTTAAATATAAGAAATAAATATATCTCGATATGTGTAGCCCTGTTTGTGTGTATGCATCAGACAAAAGCTATTTTAAAGGACCAATCATTAAAATTATCTTTTTATTTTTATAAAGGAACTATCCTAGGAGCTCAGAGATGTATAGCTAATACTTAAATTTTATACTACTGATGCATCGCATATAATGACTACATAGGTGTAAGTTTAAACCGGTTGATTGGTGGCTTGCTGAAACATATTGCACCTGAGTTGTAGACTCAGCAACAGGACTAATACGGGGCCTTAAATCTCAAACACTTTGACCATGCAAAACTTTGGTAGTCATTTCATGGTAGATCTTAATCAAACCATCAAACTGTATGCCTTAAACTTACTCAATGATATGTGTCAATTATTTCTTACTAAAGCTGCAAAGAAAATAATCTTCCCATTAGTCTTACATTTTTTATAGTTTTTTTGCATTTTTACATAACATGATATATATTTTATTTTATTATTTGTAATATATACTTAGTTCATTTTATTTCTTCAACAGTCTATAAAGAATTTTATTTTAAGAAAAAAATATTGTTAATGTACCTGATTGGTGGATTGGGATGTCCTGCAATTAAGAGAAAGGCCTATACAATATGACTACATAATGAGCACGTAGGTAAATGCACATGTAAATCTTAGCTTCATTATCACCTTGCTCGCTGATTTTTGCTTTTGTCCACAGCAGTTTTATTTGTTTCACAGGATGATTATTTTCTAAGCTGAAGCTCACCTGCTTTCATACATTGCAGGTCAATTTCTTCTGGAAGAAGCTCGCCTCATAGAAGCAGCCGAGATGGCAAAAAAGGCAGCGGAACTGGACAGCACGGAGTTCGATGTGGTCTTCAATGCTGCCCACATGCTCAGGTGAGTTTTTGCTGCTCTACCTTAAAAAAACAGCATGATGGCTTTGAGAAAGCAATTAATTCTACTGATTCCCCATCATATCACCTCATTCCACATTCATAAATTGAATTATTCTGCTTAGCCATGTTAAAATCAGGATTTTTTTCATTCGAACTCTCTGAAAATGATTGAAACACCTTTTTCTCCGCTCTTCAAGTATTATTGGTCATAAAATACAAAAAGAAAACTGCACAGTTTAAATTAATAAGTATCTAATTAAATATCTCCAAAACAAAACATTATGTCAGTTAGTCAACTGCATCTCAATATCTGTATTTTTTATTAGTTACATTGAATGTGCCATGTTGGAGACATTTGATTACATTTGGTAGTGGAGAAGATTATCAGATATCAATATACTTAGGGCTTATCAAATTCTCAAAATGGCCCTATAATTAACAGTGTCGCCATTGAAACAATATATCTTTAGATCTTTAGTGCTTCTAATTTCAGAAAGATGATTAGGAAGGCTATTAAAATAATGGTGAAACAATTAAAAGAACAACAATTTTTGTTGTGAATATAAAAAATCAGGGCATCCTTGAGTGGGGTTTAGGATAAGGATGTTTTTAAGAAACTGACATGATTTATACAATTGTTTAAAAAGCATCATTTGCAATGTGAGAAATATGGATACCCCTTTTGCCATACTCTTACCTGAATTTCACTCTGTTAAATCACCTAAATGCTTTATTAGGTGACATTCGCACTATGGACACAATGCATGACTTGTAGAGATAGGTTTGTAATTATGTAGATTACTCTTACAAGGGAAGAAAAATAACAGACATATCAATTCACATTTTTATGGTTTTAAAACATGAACTTAAAAAAGTAGAGGAACTTTTTTTTTTTTTTATTTGAGATCATTATAGATTTGCATGCAGCTATAAGAAAAAACACAAAGATCCCCTGTACCATTTATCCAATTTTTCTAGTGGTAGTAACCTGTAGAACTGCCACGCAGTATCAAATTCAGAATATTGACATTGATTCAACCCACTGGTCTAATTGTGTTTTCCTAGTTTTACTTTTACTCACACGTGAGTGTGCGCACACACACGTGCATACGTGTGTTTCGTTCTATGCACTTTATCACGTGTATAGCTTTTGTATCCATCACCACAGCCAAAATCCAGATTGCTTTCATCATCGCAAGTATTCCTTGTACTGTCTTTTATAACCACATATTTCCACCTGTCCCCCAGAAACCAATACTTAAAGCATGTTTTATACATTACTTTGGATTTATAATTTGAGACTTTTATTATAAATGTATCTCAGTGGCTTCTTACTTGGCTTTTTATGTTTTAAATAGAAATTCCAAGTCTGTTTAAGAGGAAAGAGTACATTGTGAGTTTTCTTTCGAATGCCCTCCACATCAATATTTAACATTCCTAAAGCTGATACCTACAAAGATAAATCAGGGATCCATTCACTATTGGTTTATTTATAAAGTGAACAGTTGCCAATGGAAAAATAATTTCAAAAGACAAGTTAATTTGCATGACAAGGTTAGGTACGGTATTAGGAAGAGACCTTGTTGTTCTTCATTAATAAAACACTGTACTTTTAGTAAAAAAACCCATTTGTAACGAGGGGAATGCACAGGTTTCTACAGGCTAATTCATCTTAATCATAACAGATACTTTCATCAACAAGGCGTTTTGCTACATATTAAGTCAGTATCTGAATTTCAAGGTCTACCAATGAAAACCCATTATAAGAACATAACAAAAAATGTCCTTGTTAAATATATCACTTGTAACTTTTCCTTAGTTACCATAGTGCTAGAAACCAATGGAAAGATTTTATTATACACTGGGGATGTGGGAATGTTTATGATGTATTTTTCAGAACCTTCTTTCTAACTCTTTGCATTCTGCATTCCTCATTAAGTTGCTGTCAGTCTGCACTTCCCTATTGGTATTGATGGCAAGTAAGACCGCAGCAGCCTGGCCATATTCTCCTACTTCACTTGGTGACAGTACCCAAGAATGTTTTCACTTGGTTTTTCTGTTCTGTCAAATTCAACTATTTCTCGTGTGTTTACTTTCCAATCTCTTTCCCTATTAATCAAGAACATTTAGGACTTGGTTTGCTGAAATAAATAAGAAAGCCTGTTGGTTTCCCCTTGAACACAGCCTTATGAAAATGGTGGGCTACTGAGATTTTGCCTATTTAAATCTACATATAACATTTCCCCTGGGGATGCAAAATTGCTTATGAATTGAGGTTGATATTAATTCTTCCTTGAAGAGCTCTGTTCTTTTCCAAGATATTTAGGAGACAAAATTGTCAAGGTTTGGTGACCAGTTGGGTCTGAGGGAAAGGACAGAGGTCTCCCTGGTTGTGTCTTGGTTAGCTGGATTATGGTTGACCTGACAGTATAAATCAGCAATTTAAGAAATGGTATAGTTCAATATATGCTTTGAGAACACTCATTTACCATCCCTTTCCTTGGGTAATTCCCAATTAAAATGACCCAAATAAACTTTTTTTGAGAGGGGGGGATAGAAACTGTTTATCCCAAATGCAAAAAAAAAAAGTAAAGAAAAAAAGTCATTCTGTATAGATGAGATGAGATTCGAAGAGATGAAGTCTTGGGGCCACCCATCAAGGGGAAAATCTTTATCTTACATAATCTTCAAGGGGCTTGAAATTTGAGAAATTTTTAACAGGTCCATTTGAACTCTTAATAATGGATAGTGATCTTTCTCTGTAGAACGAGTACATAGAAAGCTCTAAAATATAGGGCTTCGATTTGGCAGTTCAGATAAGTCTAAGCAAAGGGCTCTCACTGAAGCAGTTTTTACATTAAAACGCAAGAACCACTTGGGACATCTATTATTCATGATAGCAAGGTGAATCACAAGAACACTATTAATGTTCTTTACCAAGTATGTTTGGCCTTTCACCTTTAAGAAACACAATAGGCTTGCACTTCACCGCTGTTTTCCAAGTTGCAGACCTTCCCGGCCTGTGTGGGTCCCTGGATGTGTGTGAACACCATGTGTGTCACTTCTGTGAGGTCAGTGCTTTCCCCTGTTTCTGACTTGGACATTGTGAAAATAGATCCTGAAATGACCACAGGCAGACACACCTCCCTTCTCACCCGCCTTAGAATGAGAAATAAGCTTTGTTGTCTTAATTACTGAGACTTGGGACGTGTTTATTAACTACAGTGTGCCCTAAGCTATCCTAACTGATGCAGTATATAAAGTAAGAAGTTGAAAGAGGAACAATACAACAGCAGGAAAGACTGCTAAGAGACTAATAGGATCTCTAACTTGTTTACTGCAGTGGAAGCAGTGTAAAACCTATAGACTGATCATTTAAATAGAAGCATTTTCCCAGAAATTAATGGAAAATACTAAAGACATGAAAATGATAACTGAAAGGATAAAAGATTAGAGGATCAATTGAGAACACTATATATGCCTTGCCCCGGCCGATGTGGCTCAGTGGTTGAGCATCGACCCATGCATCAAGAAGTCGCTGGTTCAGTTCCCAGTCAGGGCACATGCCCAGGTTGTGGGCCAAATCCCCAGTGGGGGGCATGCAGGAGGTGGCCAGTTGATGTTCTCTCTCATCGATGTTTCTGTCTCTCTCTCCCTCTCCTTTTCCCTCTCTCTAAAATCAATAAAGGAAAAAAGAAAAGAGAACACTATATACACTCATAATTGTATATATGTTTCCATAATTATATATCGTATATAGTATGCATATATATTTAAATACATTCCTATATAGTATGTACATAGTATGTATATGTGCTATAGAGTTTTATTTATCTGTGTATATATAAATGTGTATATAATTAAATATACATATATCTATATAACTTTATACGCATATAGTGTATATATAAATAGAAAATTTCTATAGAAGAGTATAGAGCAGATAGATTAGCAATTATCAACAAATAGAGAAAATTTTCAAGATAGGATAAAGGCCTTCAATCATCATATTGAAAGCAAAATTCATGAAAGCAGATCTGTGACTAAACTTGTCTTCATGTATGGGTCACAGTGTTTTGTTGCAAACTAAAGAATTCACTCTTGCCCGTAATAAATACTCTAATTAAAGAGCATCCTATAGCCCTATACGTCTCTCACGGGCTTGAGAGTGGTCTACACAGCCAGCAATGATGCTCAACCACCTTGCTTTCTTTGGGGCTGAGCAGTGTTTACAGTCCAGAGCGCTGCCACCGTCACCCACAAGGAACCAAGCAGAGTGACTGCCCATGCATTACAAGATGATTCTTCTGAGCACAGCTCCCTTCCCCGTTATGCTTACTTCCAACTTCCATTGTCTTGAGGTTGGTAGACCTGAGTTATGTGCTGGAACGTTGGCTGGAAAAAGTGGGAAAATGAGGGAATTTCTGGCTTCTGTCTTGCTTGGGAAGGTGGGATCCACATTGTGCCTAATTACTCAATATATTTATAGGGAGGGTGATCACAGATGTTGAATGGCCTCACATAATAAGCGTTGACTATACTTGTTGACATTTTTAGTACTTCAAATAAAATGGAAAAAGTGCTGGATGCTTCCAGATGAGAGCATTATAAAAAGCAGATTGCTTATCATCAAAGGAAAATATCAAAGGAATTTAAAATGCTAGAACTCAGTATGAGTTTTATGTCTGTAGAGTTGTGAGAGGAAAGTATTGAATCAATTATTCCATTAGAAGCATTTTGTATGAATGGATTGATTCAATGTTTTCCCAGAACTGGAAGCTAGAAAGAACATGAAGATATTTGATAACTGAGAGGAAGTCTAGAGGCACTAAAAACTGTACCTGATTCACAGCATTCATGGGCTCTGGTGGCAAGTTAGTTTTTATTCTTATTTGTTTCTTTGTTTTTAATCCACTTATGGGTAAAGGAGGAACAAAAGTAGCATTTATTAAAACATCTCTGGTCGGCCTGACACTTTATTTTGTATCTGTCACCCTCTTA